CTCACTCTAGCCTGGACAACAAAGTGAGACTCTGTCTCAAAAAAAAAAAAACCACAAAAATTCAGGGACAAAAAAGGAAATATTACAACTGATACCACAGAAATACAAAGGATCATTAGAGAATATTATAAACAACTATATGCCCCCTTTCCCTACTCGAGTCAGAGGGGGAAATTGGAAAACCTGTAAGAAATGGATAAATTCCTGGACACATACAACCTACCAAGATTTAACCATGAATAAACAGAAAATCTGAATAGACCAATAATAAATAACAACAAAAAAGCAGTAATAAAATTTTTCCCATCAAAGAAAAGCCCAGGTCCTAATGGATTCACTGCTGAATTCTACCAAAAATTTAAAGAAGGAACTAATACCAATTCTAGTCAAACTATTCCAAAAAATTAAAGAAGAGGGAGTACTTCCAAACTCATTCTAGAAGGCCAGCATTATCCTGATACCAAAACCAGACAAGGATACAGCACAAAAAGAAACTATAGGCCAATATTCCTGATGAACACATATGCAAACATCCTCAACAAAGTATTATCGTAAACTGAATTCCACAACACATTAGAAAGATCATTCACATGATCAAGTAGGATTTATCCCAGGGATGAAAGGGTGGTTCAATGTAGATAAATCAATAAACATGGCATTGACATTTTTGAAGAATGTTATGTTCCTCACCTCTGCCCCTAACATATTTTTTTCATTTATTTGAATATTCTTCATTTATATTCATCTGGTGTTTCCTTGTGATTAGATTGAGGTTATGCATTCTCTGCTGGAATCCCACATAGTTGATACTGTACCCTCAGGGTATCACATCTGGAGGTAAACAATGTCTACCGGTTGGTTTCCTTTCTCCCTCCCTCCCTTCCTTTCTTTCTTTGAGACAGAGTCTGGGTCCATCTCTCAGGTTAGAGTGCAGTGGGGTCATCCTAGCTCACTGCAACCTCAAAATCCTGGGCTCAAGGGATCCTCCTGCCTCAGTCTCCTGAGTAACTGGGACTACAGGCATGCACCACCATGCCCGGCTAATTATTCTATTTTTTGTAGAGATGGTGTCTCACTCTGTTGCCCAGGCTAGTCTTGAACTCCTGGGCTCAAGCAATCCTCCTGCTTCAGCCTCCAAAAGTGGTAGGATTACAGGCATCAGACACTGCACCTGGCCAATAGTATTAATTCTAATCATCTAGTCAAGGTTTGCCCAATTCCTCCACCGGATAATTATTGTTTTCTCCCCTTTGCAACTTCTAAGTCCATGGGAGACACTTTTAGAATCATGCAAATATTCTGCTTCTCATCAAAAAATTTTTCTTAGATTTAGCATCCATGGTAATGCTTGCTTCATTCAATCTTTACCATGATGGTTGCCAAATTATAATTTCTGGAGTCTAGCATTTCCTTGTCATTTGCCAGTTGGCCCTGTCATTCTACTGTAAGAAGAGACCTCCCTTCTCCATTTATCTATTTTTTCTTGGGAAGGGATCCTTAATTCTTCTCAATACGATTTTTCCACATATCCAAAAAGTCAGATAATCTATTAGCACCACTTAATCTCCCCTGTAGACATTCCATCTGGAGCTCTTCATCCTCCTTACCACTCTGAACTGATGGTCCTTTGTCCCGCTGCATAGCTGCCTTCCTGAGATTTTCTCTTCTTATCATCTCATGAATTTCATTCAGCATTTCTTCTGTGTTGGGTCCTATTTCCTGAATCCCATGCCTTCCTCTTTCTGAGTTTCTTTTTACATTTTTTTTTTTTTTTTTTTTTTTTGAGACAGAGTCTCGCTTGTTGCCCAGGCTAGAGTGAGTGCCGTGGCGTCAGCCTAGCTCACAGCAACCTCAAACTCCTGGGCTCAAGCAATCCTGCTGCCTCAGCCTCCCGAGTAGCTGGGACTACAGGCATGCACCACCATGCCCAGCTAATTTTATATATATATTAGTTGGCCAATTAATTTCTTTCTATTTATAGTAGAGACGGGGTCTTGCTCTTGCTCAGGCTGGTTTCGAACTCCTGACCTCGAGCAATCCGCCCGCCTCAGCCTCCCAGAGTGCTAGGATTACAGGCGTGAGCCACCGCGCCCGGCTTCTTTTTACATTTTGATGGAGACATTCGTCTATAACTTTCTGACAATGGGTGGGCAACAAGTTAATTTTTTTTGAGAATATGTATGTCTAAAAACATCTTTACTTTTTTCTCATTTTATTAATAGTTTGGATATTGAATTCTAGACTGGAAAATTTTTTCTCCTTAGAAAGCATTGCTTTAGTGTGTTAGCTTCTGTTGCTGCACTGGGGACATCCAATGGCATTCCAATTCCTGATACTTTTAGATGTCCTGATTCTTTGTATGTAAAATTAATGTAATGATACTTTTTTGGTTTTCATTCTGGATATTTTGATTTAATATATTTTGTCTACTCTTCTGATCTACAATTTCTTGGTGTAGCTATTTTTCGATTTATCATACTGGTGTGTGTGTGTGTGTGTGTGTGTGTGTGTGTGTGTGTGTGTGTTTGTAAAGAAGAAAAAAGAACCAGTTTATCATACTGAGCCCTGGATGGGAAATTTCAATATGAAGATTCACTTCTTTCAGTTCTGAAAATTTGTTTTGGTGTTTTTTCTTTGTTCATTTCTTCCTGGTGTTTTCTTTTTTTAAATTAATTTAATTTAATTTTTATCTGACACATAATAGTTGTACATATTTATGAGGTACATAGTGATTTTTCTATACACATAATGTAGAGTGACCAAATCAGAGGAATTAGCATAGTCATCATCTCAAACATTTATCATTTCTTTGTGTTGAGAACATTCAATATACTCCTTCTAGCTATTTGAAATTATCTATTATTGTTAACTATAATCATCCCACTGGCTGGGCGTGGTGGCTCAAGCCTGTAATCCCGGTACTCTGGGAGTCCGAGGCAGGTGGATCATTTGAGCTCAGGAGTTCAAGACCAGCCTGAGCAAAAGAGGGAAACCCCATCTCTACCAAAAGTAGAAAAAATTAGCTGGGCATGGTGGTGCATGCCTGTATAGTCCCAGCTACTCGGGAGGCTGAGGCAGAGGGATTGGTTGAGGTCAGGAGTTTGAGGTTGCTGTGAGCTAGGCTGATGCCATGGCACTCTAGCAGGGGCAACAGGGTGAGACTCTGTCTCAATATAAAATAAAATAATATAATCATCCCACAGTGCTATAGAACACTAGAACTTATTCCTCCTATCTAGCTGTAATTTTGTATCCTTTAACAAATCTCTCCCTATTTTTCCCTTTCCCCTACCCCTCTGTACTACCTTTTACTTCTATGAGATCAACTTTTTTGGGATTCTACATATGAGTAAAAATACACAGTGTTTAACTTTCTGACTCACTTATTTTGCTTAACATTATGTCCTCCAGTTCCATCCATGTTGCCATGAATGACAGGATTTCATTCTTTTTTATGGCTGAATAGTATTCAATCGTGTATATATACCACATTTTCTTTTTTTTTTTTTTTTTTTTGAGACAGAGTCTCACTTTGTTGCCCAGGCTAGAGTGAGCGCCGTGGCATCAGCCTAGCTCACAGCAACCTCAAACTCCTGGGCTCAAGCGATCCTGCTGCCTCAGCCTCCCAAGTAGCTGGGACTACAGGCATGTGCCACCATGCCGGCTAATTTTTTCTATGTATATATTAGTTGGCCAATTAATTTCTTTCTATTTATAGTAGAGACGGGGCCTCGCTCTTGCTCAGGCTAGTTTTGAACTCCTGACCTCGAGCAATCCGCCTGCCTCGGCCTCCCAGAGTGCTAGGATTACAGGCGTGAGCCACCGGCGCCAGGCCTGAACTTTTTAATATATGAACTCTTTCATCATGTATGATAATATTTGTCTTTCTCTTTACTTTTACAGTTTTGGGATTTTTTTTACTTACAGAAGTTTAAAAAGTTTTATGTGGGTAGTTACATTTATCTTTCACTTTATAACTTATTTCTCAACTTGTATACTTAGAAGGTCATTTTCCATTCAGAGATTGGATATTCATCTATATATATTTTACTTTGTTTTATGTATATCTGTGTGTTTAAAATTTCACCTTTGAATTTTACTGTAACTTATTTTGGTGTATATTTTAATAAGGAATCTTTTCCCCAAAATAATTAATTGTCCCGGCACCCTTTTGAAAATAAACATTCCTTTCTTCGTTGATTTGAAATACCACCTCTACCAAATAGTAAGTTTATACACTGGGTCTAACTGGAGAATTTTACTCAGGTTTCCAAGGCGTTACTGGGAGGAGTGAGTAGTCATAGGGACCCTGGAGTCATTTACTGTCTAGATAATGAACCGTCTCGTTCTAAAGGTCTTCTTGAAACAAACAATTTGAAAACATAAGAAAATGATTTTGTTGGAGTTCTCAGTATTTAATTTGGGGTTGTGATGTTTTAAACTTTTAAATCCATTTATTGAGCATTGCTAACAGAATGTGTAATTGCCACCCAGTTCAAGGGACAGTTAGTTCCAGGGGACATTCTAAAGACCTGCCCGCCCCTGTCGCCACTTACTCATTTCCCTCCGGTCCTCGCAAAGGTAAGGTAAGACGCCAACCGTGATGTGTGGATGCGTGCAGTAGTGGAAGAGGGGGCTTCGTGAACATGTGTCCACACTGCCTCGGTGCAATCTATGAAGGGCTCTCGTAACCGTTCTTACTAAGATTTATAAGCATTATCCTCCGCTCCCCGCACTATCCCAAGTGTTCGTGGGTGGCTATCGGGTGAGTCCTGCCCGGGATCCTAACAGGGTACTGGGCATGCGTAGGATGCCGCGAGAGCATTGGGCCCCAGAGGCTTTAGTTGAAGCTGTGGCCCAAAGAGAGCCAGCCAGGGCCGCTGCGGGGCAGCGAAGCCCCGGGCGGCCACAGACCGAGGCGCAGGGTAGGGAAGTTGGCTGCACAAGGGGCGGAGAAAGCGGCTCAGAACTTGGAAGTCCGCTTCGCCCGTCCAGCTTGCTTTACGGCTTCCGATTGCTTTGCGGCTCTTCTTGCTTTTCGACTTGATTTACGGCTCCACCTCCTGCCCTCCCCCACACCTTCAAATTAGCGCTGTGGGTTAGGACCTTCTTCCCAGGGCCCCTTGCGTTTCTTTCCCAGTCGCCCCTGCGCGGTCTCTAGCTAAGCCCCCTTGCGCGTTTTCAAAGCTCTGATCGAGCTCGCTCCTTGCGTGCACCGCGCGCTGCCTGAGGCGCGTAAGTGGGCGGGGAGGACGGGTCCCCGTTGGGGTGGCTGGGCCGGGGGTTTTGGAGCGCGGGACAGCTCAGATTTGAGTCTAGATTTGGGCGGCAGCTGAGCTTTTCCTGCAGGTCTGGGCTTGGAGGTGTTGCGCCCGGAGCCCGAGCGGCGCGGGGGTCGGGCGGGGCTTCCGGGGGCGGCTGGCGGCGCGCCCGGCTCGCGGGGGAAGGCGGCGCCGGGCTGCGCGCCGTTTGTGGGCGGCGGCGACAGGCTGAAGCTCCTGTGGGTGGCTCCGTGGGGTGGAAATTGTGGGTGTGGTTGGGAAGGAATGATAAATTTAAAAGGAATTTAACGCCCAGTTTAGCCACATATTCAGCTTTTCTACACCTTGTTTTGAAAAAAATTGGGAGATAATACACAATTAAATTCACTCTTTTAAAGTGTATGACCAGTGGTTTTCAATGTATTCATGAGTTTGTGCATCCGCCACCATTAGCTAGTTACAGGACATTTTCGTCAATATTTCATCACCTTCAAACCCTGAAACCCATTAGCAGACACCCGTTATTTTCCCCTACACCCAGCACCACTAGTTTACTTCTTTTCTGAGATTTACTGTTCTCGGAACCGAACTTATTTCATATAAGTAGAGTCGTACAATATCTGTCCTTTTGTGTCTGGCTTATTTCACTTCGTGTAATGTTTTCAAGGTTCGTCCATCCATGTTGTAGCAAGTAACAAAACTTCATTTTTTAAAATGACTGAATTGTATGGTTATACCACATTTTATTTCTCCATTAGTTGATGGACATTGATGGCTTTCCAGACCTTTTGAGGTCTATTCCTCCACGGAACTTGCAATATGAGGCACAAACATTTGAAAACCAAGTTCTTAGAAACCAGCATTTGACTCAGGGATTACCTCAGGTATTTCAGTGGCCTCAGGTCTGGTATCTTTTAGGGGAGTTTGTCTTTTCTAAAGTCTTTTATTCTCAGTTCAGCACCTACCGAACAGTACCGTTAATTGTAGTGGTAACAGACAAATGTTTGTGTGAAGATCTCAGGGAGGCAGAAACTATGAGTTACTGTTGTTTTGTAATGTATGCCAAGACCTGTTATAATAAAAACTGAGTGTAGTTGGAGATGAGTGTATGAAAAATGTAATTCACCTAACTTTTAGAGATTTTCACCTAAAAAAAAAAAACTACAGTCAGTCCTCATTATTCATGGACTCTGTACTTGCAAATTTGCCTACTTGCTGAAATTTATTTTTTTTATTTTTTATTTATTTATTTTTTGAGACAGAGTCTCACTTTGTTGCCCAGGCTAGAGTGAATGCTGTGGCATCATCCTTGCTCACAGCAACCTCAATCTCCTGGGCTCAAGCAATCCTCCTACCTCAGCCTCCCGAGTAGCTGGGACTACAGGCATGCACCACCATGCACAGCTAATTTTTTGTATATATATTTTTAGTTGGTCAATTAATTTCTTTCTATTTTTAGTAGAGATGGGGTCTTGCTCAGGCTAGTTTTGAACTCCTGACCTCGAGCAATCTGCCTGTCTCAGCCTCCTAGAGTGCTAGGATTACAGGCATGAGCCACCACTCCCGGCCTGAAATTTATTTGTAACCCCCAAATCCTGGCTCCTTGAGTTTCCCAATGTATGAGTTCCCATTTGACTATGCGTTACCACCTTGTTTCAGCTCTCAAATTGTTCATAAGCCTCCTTTTGGCTGAATACTTAGTGCCATGTTTTTCATATTTTTGTGTTCTTTGTTAGAGATTTTGGTATTTAAAATGGCCTCCAAGCATAGTGCTGAAGTGCTGTCTAGCGTTCCTAAATGTGAGAAGGCAGTGACGTGCCTCACAAAGATAAGCTGCAGAAGCTTTGTTCAGGCGTTCTGTCAGCTGTGAGTTAAGTGTTAATGAATCAACAATATATATTAAGTAAGATATCTTTAAATGGGGCACACATAAAACAGGTTAGGTATTGACCTGTTGTATGGCCCTGTATTTCCCCTAGGAGCAATGGTCCAGTACTTGCTAATTCAGTGTCCATCATGGTGACTTTATAGAACATAACTGCCATTAATAATGAGAATTGACTGTATAACCAATTTTCAGGGGCAGAAAAGATAGTGTGGATATTTTTCAATCTCTGCAGCTTTTAACATATTTTTCACTCAAGTCATTTATTTTTAGTATTGTACTGGCAGTTCTGAAGTAGAGAGAAGCTATTAAAAAAATAAGGCTAAAATTCCCTTCATGCTATGTGCTGGGTGGGGACTATGTTAAACGCTCGGAATTCAGTGATTAGTGTACAGCCTTTCTGTTCTCAAATGGCTGATTGTGGTAGTGCAGCTGAGAAGTGATCATAGTGTGATACATGCTTTGAAGTATGTCTAAAATGTTATGGGAGCACAGGATTAATTCTTTTTAGAATGTGGTGAGATGCATAAGGTTTTAAAGAGAAATGACATATTGAGATTTCTTTTAACTTGAAAATATTTTTTCCTACTCTGTGGCTAAAAATATTTTTAAAGTATCACAAACATTACAGCAATATGTACAGAAATGAAAATAAAAGAAACTTGCTGTTTAATCCTGCTCATCCAGCTATTCTTTTTTTTTTTTTTTTTGAGACAGAGTCTCACTCTGTTGCCCAGGCTAGAGTGAGTGCCATGGCGTCAGCCTAGCTCACAGCAACCTCAAACTCCTGGGCTCGAGTGATCCTTCTGCCTCAGCCTCCCGAGTAGCTGGGACTACAGGCATGTGCCACTATGCCCGGCTAAAACATTTTCTTAATTCCTCTGTCATAGTACACCTAGAATGATTCCATATCTTGACAATTGTGAATAGTGCTAAAATAAACACAGGAGAATTAATGTCTGTTAGATATAGTAGTTTCTTTTCCTGTGGGTAAGTGCCCAGGAGAGGGCTTGTTGGATCATATGGTATGGTGGTTCTGTTTGTAGTTTTTTTTGAGGCACCTCCATACTATTCTCCATAGTAGCAGTACTAGTTTAAATTCCCATTTCCTGGTGTTTGCTTATTCTCTCTTTCTGGAATGCCTGTTGGTCAGATGTTGGGCTTCCTTGATTGAAGTTTTCATTTTTCTTATTGAGTTGTTTGAACTTTTTTTTTGAGACAGAGTCTCACTCTGTTGCCCAGGCTAGAGTGAGTGCCATGGCGTCAGCCTAGCTCACAGCAACCTCAATCTCCTGGGCTCAAGCGATCCTCCTGCCTCAGCCTCACGAGTAGCTGGGACTACAGGCATGCGCCACCATGCCTGGCTAATTTTTTCTGTATATGTTAGTTGGCCAATTAATTTGTTTCTATTTATAGTAGAGACAGCATCTCACTCTTGCTCAAGCTGGTTTCAAACTCCTGACCTTGAGCAATCCGTCCACCTTGGCCTCCCAGAGTGCTAGGATTACAGGCCTGAGCCACTGCGCCCAGCCCATCCAGCTATTCTTGATCTTCACAATCAGAATATTGCCCATCACTGGGTCTTGTCAAATCTGCCCCCTGTAATACATATCCAGAGTCCGTTCTTTCTCTGTGTTTCCATTGCCTTAGTTAAGTCTTTATCATTTCCCATCTGAGTTGTTGTAATGTAGACTCCTAAATGATCGCTCCCTCAGTTATTAAGCGTCAACAAAGAGCTTTCTGAGGCAGAAATACAATCTTATTCTCAGCTTAAAATTTTACAGTACTTTCACATAGCTTACAAAATAAAAGTTTCAAGCTTTTTAGAGTGGCTCACAAAACCCTTGGTGATCATGCCCTGTTCTGTCTTTAATAAAGATGAGGCCGGGCTTGGTGGCTCACGCCTGTAATCCTAGCTCTCTGGGAGGCCGAGGCGGGTGGATTGTTTGAGCTCAGGAGTTCGAAACCAACCTGAGCAAGATCGAGACCCCGTCTCTACTATAAATAGAAAAAAATTAATTGGCCAACTAATATGTATAGAAAAAGATTAGCCGGGCATGGTGGCGCATGCCTGTAGTCCCAGCTACTCGGGAGGCTGAGGCAGGAGGATCACTTGATCCCAGGAGTTTGAGGTTGCTGTGAGCTAGGCTGACGCCATGGCACTCACTGTAGCCTGGGCAACAAAGTGAGACTCTGTCTCAAAAATAAATAAATAAATATAAATAAATAAAGATGAGAAGAGAGGGTCAGGTGCAGTGGCTTATGCCTGTAATCCCAGCACTTAAAGGCCAAGGTGGGAGGATCGCTTGAGGCCAGGAGTTTGAGACCAGCCTGGGCAATGTAAAGAGACCTCATTTCTAAAAATAAAAAAAAAATTAGGCGTGGTGGCGCATACCCATAGTCCCAGCTATTTGGGAGGCTGAGGTGGGAGGATCACTTGAGGCAGCCCAGGAGTTCAAGGTCATAGTGAGCTATGATTGCATCACTGTACTCCATTCCAGCCTGGGTGACAGAGTAAGTCCCTGTCTCTTAAAAAAAAAAAAGGATGAGAAGAGGTAGGCCGGGCGCGGTGGCTCACGCCTGTAATCCTAGCACACTGGGAGGCCAAGGCGGGCAGATTGCTCGAGGTGAGGAGTTCGAAACCAGCCTGAGCAAGAGCGAGGCCCCATCTCTACTATAAATAGAAAGAAATTAATTGGCCAACTAATATAGATAGAAAAAATTAGCCGGGCATGGTGGTGCATGCCTGTAGTCCCAGCTACTCGTGAGGCTGAGGCAGTAGGATCGCTTGAGCCCAGGAGTTTGAGGTTGAAAAAAAAAGGATGAGAAGTGATAATATGAAAGAGGAAAATGTACCTGATTTAACATGCCTCATTTCCTCTGACTCCTTTCTTCCTCCCTCCACATATAATTAGAAATGCTTTTAGGTGATAAGGAAATTGAGGAAAATAAAAGCATTTTTGTCAGTCTTGTTTACCTTCATAATATCTCAGATTCATTCATTTATTGCTTTTAGCCACTGTCTTAGTCCAAGCTCTTTCCCTCCTACCCACTATAAGTCTTTTTTGGTTGTGTTTTTATTTCTCCTGGGAAAATGCCTATCAGAAGAATTCTGGGTTCATATGACAGATGTATGTTTATTTTCTAAAGAAATCATCAGACTTATTTCCCCAAATTAGAAAACTAGAAAGCTTCTAGAGGAAAATATAGAAAAATATCTTTATGACCTGGAGGTACACAGAGGTTTCTTGGACAGAATTCAGAAAACAATAACCACTAAAAAAAAAAAAAATAAATTTGATTACATCAAAAATCAAAAATTTAAACTTCTTATCATAGACAACTCTAAGAAAATGAAGAGGCAAGCACAGACACCTATCTGATGAAGGACTGATATTAGAGATATATTAAGAATCAGTAAGGTTCAAGGCCTGGGTTTCATCCTCTGCTGCTCCACTTTCTGGCCCTGTGGAGGCCAGTCTTTAGAGTCCTTCCTTTTTCATGACGGGTAGCATGTGTTAGCAGCATGTGTTAGTAGCTAATTGGTTTTATCAGCCTGTTTCCTGCCAACAGTGTATGAGAGTTCCAGTTGCCTTGCCAACTTCTGGTGTTGTCAGTGTTTTTATTTTTAGTCATTCTGGGGGTACATAGTGATATGTCATTACGGTTTCAATTTAGCCCGTTTACTAATGATGCTGAGCACTTTTTCCTGGACTCACTGACATGTCTTCCTTTGTGAAGCGCCTCCTCAAATCTTTTGTCCACTATAAATTGGGTTGTCTTTTTATTATTGAATTGTAGGAGTTCTTTCTGTATCCTTTTTATATCCTGGGTATCAGTCCTTTGTGGTTGCCTATTCATTTTCTTAAACTTGTCTGATGAATAGACAATTTTGATGTAGTCAATTTATCATATTTTTCTTTTATAGTGATTGCTTTCTGACTTATAACAAATCTTGGCTACCTCTGAGTTATGCAGGTAATATTTTATATTTTCTTCTAGAAGTTTTATAGTTTTAGTTTTATGTTTAGGCCTATGATCTATCTCTAGGTTTTGTGAATGGTGTGAGGTATAACTCAATATTAAATCTTTTTTTTTTTTTTGAGACAGAGTCTCGCTTTGTTGCCCAGGCTAGAGTGAGTGCCGTGGCATCAGCCTAGCTCACAGCAACCTCAAACTCCTGGGCTCAAGCAATCCTTCTGCCTCAGCCTCCTGAGTAGCTGGGACTACAGGCATGTGCCACCATGCCTGGCTGATTTTTCTCTATATATATATTTTAGTTGTCTAGATAATTTCTTTCTATTTTTAGTAGAGACGGGGTCTCGCTCTTGCTCAGGCTGGTCTTGAACTCCTGACCTTGAGTGGTCCACCCACCTCGTCTTCCCAGAGTGTTAGGATTACAGGTGTGAGCCACTGCACCTGGCTAATATTTTCTATATATATTAGTTGGCCAATTAATTTGTTTCTATTTATAGTAGAGACGGGGTCTCGCTCTTGCTCAGGCTGGTTTCGAACTCCTCACCTCGAGCAATCCGCCCGCCTTGGCCTCCCAGAGTGCTAGGAGTACAGGTGTGAGCCACTGCACCTGGCCAGTACCACATTATTTTAATTCCCATGGTTTTATGATAAGTCTTGGAGTCATGTAGTGTAAGCCCTCCAATCTTGTTGTTGTTTTTCAAGATTGATTTGGATATTCTAGATCCTCTGCATTTCCATATAAATATTAGAATCAGTTTACCAGTTTCTATAGACAAGTCTGGTGGGATTATGATTGGAATTGCATTGAAGCTATACATCAATTTGGAAAGAAATGGTATCTTAACTGTATTGCGTCTTCAAATATGTGAACATGGCACATCTCCCTTTTTATTTAGGTCTTCTTTTTATACGGTTTTATTGTTTTCAGTGTCGAAGTCTTATATGTCTTTTGTTAAATTTATTCCTAGGTATGTTTTTTACCTATATTATAAAATGGAGCTGTAATTTGTATCATTCATTACTCTATATATAATGTGTCATTTTTGTCTAGCTGCTTTCAGAATTTTTCTCCTTATCTTTGGTTTTCAGCACTTTGCCTCTGGTATGTCTAGGTGTAATTATCTTTTTATTTATCCAGCTTGAGGTTTATGGAACTTCTTAAATCTGTAAATCTATCTCATCCAATTTGGGTAATTTGGAGCCATTATTTTAAAAAATATTCTGTCCCAGTCCAGGCACAGTGACTCACACCTGTAATCCTAGCACTCTGGGAGGCTGAGGTGGAAGGATCACTTGAGGCCAGAAGTTTGAGGTTGCCGTGAGCTATGATGATGCCACTGCACTCTACCCCTTCAACAAAGTGAGACACTGTCTCAAAAAAAACAAAAAAACTGTCCCATTTCCTTTCACCTCTTCTTCTGGGACTTCAATAACATGTATGTTAGGCATTTTGAAATTATCCCACAGGGTCCTGCACCTCTTTCATTATTTTCAATTTTTTTTTTTTTTTTTTTTTCTCTAATTGTCTATTTCGTGAACAGGATTGTCAGTTTGGGATGATTTATGAGATTCCTTGTTAAAGAGAGGTCCTGGTTTTTGTAAGGGTAATAAAGTATGGTTTCTAATTTTACTAGAAAGTTTTTTTGGGAGATGGTTGTATATCCTTTGACTTAAGTTTTCTTTTGTCTAGTAGGAACCTAAATTGCCTCCTCTTTTGCCCTTCACAGCACAGTTTTTTTTTTTCTTTTGGAGACAGAGTCTCGCTTTGTTGCCCAGGCTAGAGTGAGTGCCGTGGCGTCAGCCTAGCTCACAGCAACCTCAAACTCCTGGGCTCAAGCAATCCTCGTGCCTCAACCTCCCGAGTGGCTGGGACTACTGGCATGCGCCACCATGCCCAGCTAATTTTTTCTATATATGCTAGTTGACCAATTAATTTCTTTCTATTGATAGTAGAGACGGGGTCTCACTCTTGTTCAGGCTGGTTTTGAAATCCTGACCTCGAGCAATCCACCCGCCTTGGCCTCCCAGAGTGCTAGGATGACAGGTGTGAGCCACCGCGCCTGGCCATAGCACAGTTTTTGAAGCATACCTTTCTGTTCCTTTTTGTTCTCTTCTCCCCAGAAACTTTCTAAGACTGCCTCATCAAGTTCTGTGTGTGCTTAAATGTAGGCCCTCCTTGCCCCCACCCCCACAATCTGTCAAGAGCTTTGTCAGGGTTTTCATACTTAATGTGGGGTTTCTTTTTCAGGGAGTGACTTAGTTCCATCTGAGTCTTTTCATCTTCTTCTTTCTTCTATGTGCTTCCCTTCCCACCTGGATCCCACCTTGCTCTCCTTAAAGAGTTGGGATAAGAGTTTGAAAAATATCTCCACCAGAAAGTGATGTTTGTTTTTATACTTACAGGTAATTTGAAGCTTGTAGTATTTTCAGTCTTCTAATTATGTTGAAGATATGGAATGTTTTGTGGTTTTCTTTGTTCCTCTTTTTGGTTTGTATAGTTTTCAGAGGATGTGTTAGGATGTTTGAATTTATGTAGCTGCCAAAACCTTGGCTATCTAGGAAGTCTTTCCTAACATTTTATTTTGAAAGATTTGAAGCCTTCAGGAAAATTGTCCCATCAATGCCTGCATATCCTTTGCCTAGATTCATAAGTTTGTCACTTTTGTTTTATCTGTTTCTCTTCTTCTCTTTACCCACATGTGTGTGCACATACACAATCTTTATCAGTTGAACGGATTGAGAGTAAGCTGCAGAAAACATGGTGCTTCACTCCAGTACTTTATCATATATCTCGTATTAAGGTCATTCTCTTAACTGTGATACAAGTACCACACTTAGTAAGTTTAACACTGATACAATACTCTCATCTTATATCTAGTCCTTCATCAGATTTCTCCCTATGTCTTAATAATGTCCTTTATAGCAGCAGTCCCCAACCTTTTTGGCAGCAGGGACTGGTTTCATGGATGACAATTTTTCCATGGTTGGGGTGGGTGGGGCTCAGGCGGTGGTACAGGGCTGGGCCATGGATCGGGCTTGGGCACCACAGCTTTATAGATTTTTCCCCTGATCTGAAATTTCATCAGGGACCACACAGTGTATTTAGTTGTCTTATCTCTTTAGTCTCCTTTAATATAGAAGAGTTCACAAGCCCTTCTGTTTATTTTTTGAGATGTTGGACATTTTCGAAGAGTAGAGGCCAATTGCCTTGCAGATTTGAACTTATTTCCTCAGGATTCGATTGGTGGGAATACTCCTGAGTGACGCTGTGACCTTCTCAGAGCGTCAGTCAGGAAGCACGTGATGTGGCTGTCATTGTTGGCATTAAGTGTGATTACTTGATTAAGGTGGTGTCTGCCAGATTTCTCTATTGTAAAGTTATCTTTTGCCCCTCTCCACTTTTTACCCCCAAGTGCAAGTAGTTTATTTGGAGATGACCCTAGGACAATTGGTAGAGGACAGGGAAAGCGTGACGGGAAAGGACAGGCAGTCAACAGAGTGTGAGTCATCCAGCCAGCCACCAAGGTTAGGTAGCCAAACCTAATTCCCCTGGGGAACTTTGGAGCCAATGTAGAGCTCATGGCTTGGTGGCACCCCAAAGAAGGGGTAAGAAATCTGGGGTGTTTAAATGCTAGCTCCTGTCAGTCACTCTGTAAAAGCTGATCCCAGGGAACATTAGTTGTCTGGCACTTCCCACTTGCCATGAGCAGGTGCAAAATAGGCTCTGAGTAGCAACAAAGGCTCTCAGGGAGAGAGATCAGATGTTGGCGCTTGGAAGTCAGGCCAGGGTGTGGTGCCGTGGTGAGAGCTGATGGGGTAACTGGCAGGGCAGCTCTAGTGTCTGCTATACATGGTACCCCAGAACCTAGAGCTTGAGGCAAAATCCTTTTTTCAGGAAGTGCAATTTCAGAAGCAGAGGTGAGGGAATGGGAGTTAGGGGAGAAGGAAGGTTAAGTCTTAAGGTTAAGAAGGAAGTTCAAGGGTGTACTTCCAAGTTGGCCACCCCTTGGTATAAGTCCAGTTGCAAGCAATCTCCTAAGCTGTCTCCCGGGAGGACGTGTAAAGTACTGCATTCCAGGACAGCCAATCCAAGGGAAGGAAGGAGCAGGACGTACTCCTCAGCTTCTGCGTCTCATTGGAGAAAGGTTTGTCTCATGTTAACTCCTCCAAGCTTCTAGGTTGTGCGTGTGTGAGCCTCAGGTGGGTCGCACCTCAGAGGCAAGAGGCAAGCCCAGGTGGGAGGGTTAAGCAGACAGTGCCAGCAGAAAGGGAGGGCGGTGTAGTTGGTGAGAACCCAGGTGTATTTTGTCAGCCCAGTGACACCTGGGGTGGAAAAGTGGCCAAGGGCCTCAGGGACAGGCAAAGCCAAGAAGCTATGAGGTGTTGCGTAAGATATGCCTGTTGCATTTGGATTCCACCTTTGTTTAACAAATATGCACACGCGTGCACACATATAAAGCACACATATACAAACACAATCACGTATATAAAAATATAACAGCTGTATCTTGGTGGTGGGACCCAGCTGATTTTATGTCCTCCCATACTCTCTGATATATGTTTAAAGCTTTCTACAATAAAGGTATTTTCATTTTATAATGGGAAATGGTTGTGGACAGGTTTGGAAAGGGAGAACAGTATGCATCTTTTTTAAAGTAGAAGAGCAAAAAAAAAAAAAAAAAAAGATTTCATGCTTATCTTTTGGAATAGATGGTTTAAAAGAGACTGCTAGATCTTTTTTTTTTTTTTTTTTGAGACAGAGTCTCGCTTTGTTGCCCAGGCTAGAGTGAGTGCCGTGGCGTCAGCCTAGCTCACAGCAACCTCACACTCTTGGGCTCAAGCAATCCTCCTGCCTCAGCCTCCCAAGTAGCTGGGACTACAGGCATGCGCCACCATGCCCGGCTAATTTTTTCTATATATATTAGTTGGCCAATTAATTTATTTTTAGTACAGACAAGGTCTCACTCTTGCTCAGGCTGGTTACAAACTCCTGACCTCGAGCAGTCCTCCTGCCTCGTCCTCCCAGAGAGCTAGGATTACAGGCGTGAGCCACCACGCCCAGCCTTAGATCTTTTATTCTTTTTTATTTTTTTTTATTTTTCATGTAACAGACATTTGTAAGGATCTTTTAAAATATTGTTTACAGGCTGGGCGCGGTCGCTCACGCCTGTAATCCTAGCACTCTGGGAGGCCGAGGTGGGCGGATAGCTCGAGGTCAGGAGTTCGAAACCAGCCTGAGCAACAGCGAGACCCCCGGTTCTACTATAAATAGAAATAAATTAATTGGCCAACTAATATATATATATATAGAAAAAAAAATTAGCCGGGCATGGTGGTGCATGCCTGTAGTCCCAGCTACTCGGGAGGCTGATAGAAAAAAAAAGTAGCCGGGCATGGTTGTGCATGCCTGTAGTCCCAGCTACTTGGGAGGCTGAGGCAGTCGCTTTTAATTTGTTGATTTAACAATTTTAGACATTAATTGACTAACCTAGTTTAGGCCACTATCCTACTTTTTAGTACTAGATTATAAATTAATTTATCAATCTTAGCTGAACTGTAATGTTTTATGATCATTTAAATGATTTTCTGCATTTTCATCGTAATCTGTGTAAGAAAATTAACATGACATAAGCAATAACGTTTAGTTAGTACTTAATGTGCGCCAGGCACTATTCTATGCTCTTTCACTATGCTCTTTCATGAAGTATCACATTTCATCTTTACAGCAGCCCTAGGAAGTGCAGGTACTATTGTTACCTCCATTTTCTAGATGCAGAAATGTCATTTAGAGAGATTATGTGAATTCCCCTTGGTCAAGTGTCTAGCAGGTGACCGGAGTTCAAAACGTCTAGAACTTGAAGTTACATTACCTGGCAGGACCCTTGGGGGTGTGTCCTAAGACCCTCAGTGATGCCTCCCTCTATGTACACTATGTTTTTCAATCTCACAGCCCAGAGGGCTACTAAGTGGCTAATGGGCAATGGCATCTACAGCATGGAGATGCTGGACAAAGGGTGCATGTTCCAGGTGGGATGAAGTGGGATGGTACGCGATTTCATCATGCTACTCAGAATGGCACACAATTTAAAACTTAATTATTTATTTCTGGAATCTTCCATTTAAGATTTTCAGACCATGGTTGACCGGGGGTGTTGAAGCTGTGGAAAGCAAGGAAATGAAGCCAGGGGTCAGGGGGAACTCCTGTGATGCTGTGGGGGTACTGTACCACTTGACAGTCATGGATTCGTGCTTCTGTTAGCAAATAATCCAGAGATTGTAACATGTAAATTTGCTGAGGCACAACTTTGAGGCTGTTCGTTGACAGGTGTAGGGTATTCTGGGGGTGGGCAGGCAGGATGATTTTCTGAGGTAATTGTATTTTCTAGTGGATTATGAGTTTGCGCAGTCGCAGTCTGGTGTGGGGCTCTCAGACCCCCCGGGCTTCTGACGGCGCAGATCACTGGTCTCACCCCAGAGGGTCTGGCTCATGGGTGGAGGCTGGGGCCTGAGAATTTGCATTTCTGACCAGTTCATGGGTGAGGCTGATGCTGCTGGCTCAGGAGCCGGACTGGTTTGATGCTGTGCCTCTCCTTCCTGAATGTTTGGGCTCTTCCCATCCCCGTCAGTCTTCTCCCTCCACTAGTGTGTTAGCGCCTCAAGAGCAGCTCAGTTATTGGGGTTTCTATTTCTTTTTTGCCCCCAAAATGAGCAGAGCCATGTTGTCTGTTGTAGTAGGTGGTAATAAGTTGGGTTTCTTTACGCTTTAAAACAGACTCACTTGATTTTTCTTTGTCTCCCTCAGCTATACTGAGGTATGGCTGACAAATAAAAATTGTATATATTTAAGGTGCACAATGTGATAATTTGATACATATATATATACATTGTGAAATGATTACCACAATCAGGCTAATTAATATACCCGTCACCTCACACAAAGGGTAAAAGTTACCCTTTTAACTAGTGTAGGTTGAGTGGCCTTTATTTGAAATGCTTGGGACTAGAAGTATTTTAGACTTCAGATTTTGGAAGGTTTGCACATACATAATGAGATATCTTGGGGATGAGACCTAAATCTAAACACGAAACTCACTTATGTTTCACACCCTCCTTACACACACAGCCTGTAGGCAACTGTATTTTTCCCTTGGGAGGCTGAGCAGATCGTGCCGTGCGCCTGCAATTTCACTCTGCCGCCACACGAGATCAGGTACGGAATTTTCCACCTGTGGCATCATGCCGGTGCTCAAAACATTTCTGATGCTGGAGCATTTTGGACTTTGGATTTTTAGATTGGAGATGCTCTACCTGTAGTAAGTAGATTGTCTGCTTTCCCATAAAGAACATTTTTGTAATCTTGATTTTTCAATTATAAACCTAATATGTTCTTATTGTAAACATCACCTTTGATAGCACCACCACTATAGCAAAAATGTTGACAGAAAGTATCAGCAGACCCTAAAGGGTTTTCGGCAGCTTGGTAGATCCTGGCTGACCACTGAGGAACTTCGTGCTTGATTGAAGTAGTGTTTAGAGTTACATGAATTAAGTAACTCATAGGATATTACATAAGGGTGCTTTTTAGTAGAGGCTTTTGTGTTTTCCCATTGGCCTTCTTTGAAATCTTTTTTTAAAATTTCATTTATACAGAGGCCAAGTGGAATTGACATGTCTGGGGCTGAGGAAGCGATCTTCGGAGCCAGTGACCGCCGTCCTGTTGGTGGCAGCCCTGTGCTATGCTTCGGACAGGTAACGTGTAGTTCCTTCACAGGAGAGGACAAAGTTGAGTGAGAAAAGTTACAACAAGATTAGCTGGAGAGCATCATCAAGCATGTCATTGACTGGATTTTCTTTAGATGCAATATTTTGGTGGTCTTTGGTGAACTCTGACAGCATTTTAGAACTTAAGCATCAAAAGACTGATAGTACTGGGAGTTACATTTGGATTTAAATTTATTTTTGGATAGATAACATATTCATATGCTATTGAATTCAAAATGAGAGAAAGACTGTATGTGACAAGTCTCCCTATCCCCTTTGAATCCTTGTGTCTGTGCCAGCCAGGCCTCTTTCTTGGGAATCCCAAGTTACCGGAGTCCTGTTCTTTGTCGAGACATTCTGTGTGTAGAAAAGTTTTTCTTGGCTGGGCGCGGTGGCTCACACCTGTAATCCTAGTACTCTGGAGGCCGAGGCAGGCGGATAGCTCGAGGTCAGGAGTTCGAAACCAGCCTGAGCAACAACGAGACCCCGTCTCTACTATGAATAGAAAGAAATTAATCAGCCAACTAATATATGTATAAAATATTAGCCAGGCATGGTGGCTCGTGCCTGTAGTCCCAGCTACTCGGGAGGCTGAGGCAGGAGGATCGCTTGAGCCCAGGAGTTTGAGGTTGCTGTGAGCTAGGCTGACGCCACGGCACTCACTCTAGCCTGGGCAACAAAGCGAGATTCTGTCTCAAAAAAAAAAAAAGAAAAAAGAAAAGTTTTTCTTGCTCTATCTTTGTCTATACCAGAGATTCGTTTGTGAGAATTACCTCATTTAAATGGGACCAGGGAACAAAACCAAAGCCAGCAAGTAGGAGTATAGTTCCATATGTGTGGGATGGAAATTGTTGAATTGGAGAAGAAGGTATAAAACTTGGGAGAGGACAAGTGGAATCAAGACTTCCTATCATGTTTTCTCTTTTTTTCTTCTTCTTCCTTTTTTAGAGACAGGGTCTCACTCTGTTGCCCAGGCTAGGGTACAGTGTCGTCATCATGGTTCATTGCAGCCTTGTACTCCTGGGGTCAGGCAATCCTCCTGCCTCAGCCAGGACTACAGGTGTGTGCCAACATGCCTGGCTAAGTTTTAAATTTTTTTTATAGAGAAGGGATCTCACAGTGTTGCCCAGGCTTATCTGGAACTACTGGCTTCAAGTGATCACCCCTCATCGGCCTCCCAAAATGCTGGGATTATAGGTGTGAGTCACCATGTCTGGCCTGGCTTGAGAAAATTATAAAATTTTATAAGGATGTAGCAATAGCTAAGGTGGTTGTCCTCAAAATGTGGTTCTTACATCCCTAGAGAATCACAAGATCCTTCAGCATCCATGAGGTCAAAGTTATTTTCATAATAATGCTAAGATAGTGTTTGCCTTTTTCACACTCAGCCTGTCAAGTGTGAATGGTGGAGCTTTCCAGAGACTGTACAACATGATGATATCATTGCTCTGATGCTCAATGCAGTGTGTGTCTTAAAGGGTTCTCAGTTTTAATTCCTAATACCATGGATGTAACCAAGATAAATAAAATCTCTTGGGGTCCTCAATAAGAGTGTAAAGAGCTGGGCATGGTGGCACGAGCCTGTAGTCCCACCACTCTGAGAGGCTGAGGCAGGAGGATCACTTGAGCTCAGGAGTTTGAGGTTGCAGTGAGCTACGATGATGCCACTGCTCTCTAGTCTGGTGACAGAGGGAGACAGAGTCTCCCCGGCAAAGAAAAAAAAAAAAAAAAGAGCATAAAAGGGTCCTGAGACCAAAAAGTTGGAGACGTGGCGATGTAAGGCATGGTGGAAACGTCCATTGATTTTCCTTTCTGGACTGCAGTGCCAGTACACGGCAGAGGAATACCAGGCCATTCAGAGTGCGCTGAGGCAGAGGCTGGGCCCGGAATACATAAGTAGCCGCGTGGCTGGAGGAGGCCAGAAGGTAGGAGAGCTCTGTGCCTGGAGAGCTGGTGTCCACGTGGCGCAACTGCTCAGGTGACCTCACCAGCTCTCTCTCTGGGTCTCACGGATGCGGGAGGCCTTTGTTCACTGCAGGTGGAGGTTCCTCGTGCCTCTGGGTGGGCATGGGTCTGGCCTTCATTCTCATCAGAAGGGGCCCAGGCATCATCTTGAGGCTTAGATAACTGCCATCTTAGGGTTTTTATACCATTTAAAAAAATGTCCCTTTTGCCATTTGCTTCTTTTTATTTTTGAATTAAATAATTTTTAAGAATTTATAATGAATACATAATAATTATGCATCATTTGCTTGTAATTTTAACTTCTGTGCATGTTTTTGGTCTTCCATAAAAATATGTCAACCTTGAGATTTATACTTTTTTGGCATCTGTGAGTTTTGGAAACTGTTAGATGAATAGTTCTTTCCCCTCTTAGTCTAGTTCCTCCCCTTGGACAGACCATTAGTTCACTAGTTCTCACTGGATCCTTCTAGAACTGCAGTCCCCAACACCTGGTCCACGGCCTGTTAGGGACTGGGCCACAGAGCTCTGCCATACCCACCCCTCCCCCTGTCTGTGGAAAAATAATTTTCCATGAAACCCGTCCCTCGTGCCAAAGAGGCTGGGACCGCTGCTCTAGAAGATCTTTGAAATAAATTCATTGAGAATTTTCCTAGAATGTTTAAGGGCAGTTTTGCCAAATAAGCAGGTAAGGAATAAACTAAGTAAATTTTGACTCACGTTTTAAGTGTGACAGGGAATTTTAACATAGCTTTTTCTTTAAAAACAATTTTTTTCTAGGTGTGTTATATTGAGGGTCACAAGGTAATTAGTCTCGCCAACGAGATGTTTGGCTACAATGGCTGGGCACACTCGGTCACACAGCAGAACGTGGGTAAGTCTGCTTCCTGGCAGTGCCAAGTGCTGTCCCCCTTCCTCGGGCACTGTCCGACTGGTGACGAGAGTACTTGGTGTCGAGGGTGTAGGCTGGTGTGTCTGGTTGGCAGCGGAGGGACGTGGGTCAGGCCGAGTCCCATCCTCGTCAGCTGATCTCTTTCCCACTGCTAGATTTTGTCGACCTCAACAACGGCAAGTTCTACGTGGGGGTCTGCGCGTTCGTGCGGGTGCAGCTGAAGGTGAGGCTGCTGGAGCAGACGCCGCCCGGAGGGAGGCTGGGGCGGGGCAGGGAGTCTCAGCTGGGTTCCTTAGGGTGGCAGTTTGCTCTTGTGCCCCCTGAAAGAATTCTGGAAAGCTGTCTTCTTGAACACTTTTGACACTTAAAAAAGTTTTCACCATATATAAAATTGTTTGCAAAAGGTATATTTTTTGGCATATTGTAAAATTCAACACTTTAAAATACAGTAAGTCCTCATTTAATGTAGTTGATACGTTTTTGGAAATTGCAACTTTAAGCAAAAACGATGTACAGCAGGTCCTCAAATGATGTCATTTGTTATAAGGTTGATTAAAAGAAATTGGCTTTGTTATACATCATTTCGTTAAAGTCAGTTTCCAAGAACCTATGGAAGATGTTGAGGCTACTGTGAATCTGCTACATCTTTTTAAAATGTACCAGTGGAAACTAAATACTATATAGGGATTAAATACTGTCATTTATTTGAAAAAATACATGAGTAAGTTATTCTTTAATCATCAGAAATTTTACATTGTTCCTTCTTTATATGAACTGAAATATATCTATTCTAGTTCCCTACTGGTTTTTATCCTAATATAGATTTATGATTGAAGGTTTCATTGATAACCTTATTATGCTTTTCTCCCTGCGTGTGTGCATGTGTATGTATAAAAATACATTTTTTGGTAAATTTTCAGTGACCTTAATGCTCTAAATATTAAAAGATTTCTTCTGGAGTGACTTATTATCACAGTTATTGTTAATACACAATTGACTGAACAATTGTGTTTATGTTGAAGAGAACACAAATAGATCAAAATTTTGATACTTAAAAAGAAAAATTGGCTGGGCGTGGTGGCTCATGCCTGTAATCCTAGCACTCTGGGAGGCCAAGGCAGGCGGATTGCTCGAGGTTAGGAGTTCGAAACCAGCCTGAGCAAGAGCGAGACCCTGTTCTACTATAAATAGAAAGAAATTAATTGGTCAACTGATATATATAGAAAAAATTAGCCGGGCATGGTGGCGCATGCCTGTAGTCCCAGCTACTTGGGAGGCGGAGGCAGGAGGATCGCTTGAGCCCAGGAGTTTGAGGTTGCCGTGAGCTAGGCTGACGCCATGGCACTCACTCTAGCCTGGGCAACAAAGCGAGACTGTCTAAAAAGAAAAATTAAAATTTTATGGAAAATGTGTATCTTAATGAAATGGATGGTGTTATTTTTTCTTTTTAGTTAGTTTATGTATCCATAATTGAACACTACTTATTTCTTGAATGAACATTGAGCATTAATTCTATTCTTGACTTCTGATTTTTATAAATAGTACAGAAAAACCCTGCACACATCAGTAAGTAGCTGAGGATGAAAAACATTTTGTTACAGTGTTACTCATTTCTTTGAGAGCTCTCTGAGTTATTTTCTAAAAATCAAGGAGTGCTTTTATTTGATTCTCTGTCAGCTAACGATTTCTGTCAGGTCCACCTTGGCTTTTGGTGAAAGCTGCGTTGGATACCACCCAACTTACGAAAGGATTGCTACCCGGTCACTGTTAGATACAATATTTCAAATGATCTCTTTGCCTGATATCCCAGAGGTTTTCATACCTTTGGGTAATACACCTTAGTGAGATCTGGGGGTTTGAAACACCTTGTATGTGAAAGTGGGCTGGGAGGGGACAATGGTCTTGACGCCGGGACCACAAGGCACATGTGCAGGCAGGTTGAGTTTGGGAAGTAGTTCTGGAAACTGATGCTCTTACAACTCTCTGTGCCTCTGGGTGACAGATGCCCGGTCTGAACACTGCTACTTGAGGGAAAGGGACACACCTGTGGCTTTTCACGTTCGAGTCTGAACTCCTTTTCTGCCCCAGGATGGTTCATACCATGAAGACGTGGGTTATGGTGTCAGTGAGGGCCTCAAGTCCAAGGCTTTGTCTTTGGAGAAGGCGAGGAAGGAGGCAGTGACAGACGGGCTGAAGCGGGCCCTCAGGTGAGCACGGGGGCTGGAGGCTTACATGCTTCATTTTAGCTCGTTTCAGAGCAGTTTTGTGTTTTTTTTTAAAGTCAATATATTCACATGGTTCAAAAGTCTAAATAACATGGAAAGATAAATCTCACTCCTGCCCACGTCTTCATCTACCCTGTTTTTCTGCTTTGTTTTGTATTTTTCAGAGTTTATGCTTAGGTCTTCCCTTTTGGGGAGTAAGTGGTAGAGTCCTGCACCCTCTATTTAGGGCTCTCTTGCGCCCGTGCTGGGAACAGAGGGCCTCTCGGCGGCTGCAGCAGGCGGCGGCCTTTCTCCTCCGCTCTCCTGCGGTGCCCGCAGCCGCCGCCTGCCTCACACGGGTGGGGCAGAGCCAACGAAGTCACGTGGCTACACAGACATCGCTGAGAACTGAAGTGAACTGCATTTCCAGAAAATGCCTGCCTGAGTGCACTGAAACTTGCATTGCCGTACTCTGGGGAGCTCCATATATCCCAAGTGGAGAACTTTGGTTGTGGAGGACTGTGTCCTTTGTGTAGCCCGCTCTTATTTCGAAATTGGAGCAGTTCTTGGAAAAATAAATCTCTGCTCTGGAATTTGTGTGCTCCACACCGGGGGGTAGCTAATGGGTTTTGTAAATGGTTCCTTAGTTTTTTCATACTCATCTCTCCTTCAGGGCAGGGATTTGCATTTGCTATTCTCAGAACCTGGAAGGAACCTGGCCATGCTCAGTAGACATTTATGGAATGCACACTAGGGTTGATTTTCCCTGCTGCTTTGAGAAGCAACTTGTACTAACATTGTAACTCTGTTCTCTGGGATTCACGTGCAAACAATTCTCAGCCCTGTCCCACTTTTTTTTCTCTTACCCTCAGGAGTTTTGGGAATGCACTTGGAAATTGTATCCTGGACAAAGACTATCTGAGGTCACTAAATAAGCTTCCACGCCAGGTATGTAGCAAGGGAGGAATAGGATGGATTGCGGGGAAGACAGTGTAGCAGATTCTCTTCTGTCATGGGTTGAGTGTTTGGAGGATGGAGAGAGAAGTGAGGACTCAGCTATTTCGAGGGTCTGGAATGTTTATTTCAGATTTTGAACGTTAGAGCTAGCAAGAACTGATCATTTTATGGACAAAGAAATTGAGTCCTGGAGAATTTGTGTCATTTGTCTCAGATATAGGCAACTGTGGCTGCGAGTGGCCCGTGAAACCTCAGAACGCGCACAGAGCTCTCCGCGGCACTGTCGTCGTTTCTTTTCCTTAGCTCTGGTGTCCTTAAGGTTTAGATGTCCGTCATTTCTGTCAGTACCTATCACATGGTCTGAGCATTTGCCTTTGGAGAATGGGCTCTGTGGTCAAGCGCCCCTGGGGTCACACTTGCCCTGTGATGGTCAGCCTGCCTGGAGGAGTGCCTGCTCTCCCCGTGGCGCCCGCTGCAGTCCCTGCTGTGCCGCCACCCAGGGCAGAATTCCCATCCTTTGCCCAAGAGATTCTTTTTCTCGTGGAGCCACTAATAGAGGTGTGTGTCTGGCATCTGCCAAAACTCTTCTCTTTAAAAAATTTTTTTCCTAGTCTGCAGTTTTTCTTTTTATATTGTAAAAAAGACATACAATTTACCATCTTAACCGTCTTTAGTGTAGGGTTGAGTAGTATTAAGATATTTGCATTGTTGTGAAACTAATGTTCAAAACCTTTTCGTCTTGCAGAACTGAAACTCTGCCTGTAAGACCAGAACTCCTCTTCTCCCTCTCCCCACCCCTCGGCAGTCACCACCCTACTTTCTGTTTCTGTGAGTTTGACTACTCTGGGTAGCTGCGATAAGTGAGTCATAGAGTTTTGTCCTTTTGTGACTGGCTTGTTTCGCCTAGTATTAATGCCCTCAGGGTTCACCCATGTGGTGATGGGTGTCGGAATGCCTCCCTTTATAAGGCTGAGTAATATCCTCGTATGCATATATCATATTTTGTTTATCTGTTTGTGGACATTTGAGTTATTTCTTCCCCTTGGCTCATGTAACTAATGCTGCTGTGAACATAGGTGTATAAATATCTCTTGGAGTTGCTGCTTTCAATTTTTTGAAATTGAATCCTAGAAGTGGGATTGCCTGGATCATATGGTAGTTCTATTTTTAATTTTTTGAGGAGTCGCTATACTGATTTCCATAGCAGTTGTACCATTTTATAATCCCACCAACAATGCACAAGAATTCAGATTTCTCCACATCCTTGTTAACATTTGCTATTTTCTGTTTTTTTAAAAAAAGTTTGGTAGTAGACATCTTAATCATCCTATTGGCTGTGAAGTGATATTTTATGGTGGTTTTGATTTGCATATCCCTAATGATTAGTGATGAGCATCTTTTCATATTCTTGTGGACCATTTGTATTTCATCTTTGGAGAAATGTCTACTCAAGTCCTTTTCCATTTTTTTTTAATTTAAATTTTATTTTAGCATATTATGGGGGTACAAGTGTTAAGGTTACTTATATTGCCCATGTCCCTCCTCCCCCCTCGAGCAAGAGCTTGAAGCATGTCTATCCCCCAAACGTTGCACTTCTTACTCGTTGTGGTTGTATATACCCATCCCTTCCTCCCCCCTCCCACACTCCCAACACCCAATAAATGTTACTCCTATATGTCCACTTAGGTGTTGATCCGTTAATACCAATTTGCTGGTGAGTACATGTGGTTTTTCCATTCTTCAGATACTTCACTTAGTAGAATGGGTTCCAGCTGTATCCAGGAATATACAAGAGGTGCTATATATCACCATTGTTTCTTAAAGCTGAGTAGTACTCCATGGTATACATATAAAGATAAGGACAATTGCGGCTAGCAAAGAATTTATGAAGAAGACCCCAAAGGCAATCACAAAGCAATAAATAAATGAATAGGACCTAATGAAATTAAAAAGCTTCTGCACAGTCAAACTATCAAGAGAGCAAACAGACACCCACAGAATGGGAGAAATTTTGCAAGCTACACATCTGATAAAGGGCTGATAACTAGAATCTATTTAGAACTCAGGAAAATCAGCAGAAAAAGCAAACAACACTATCAAAAAATGGGCAAAGGACATGAATAGAAACTTCTGAAAAGAAGACAGAATAATGGCCAACAAACATACAAAAAAATGTTCAACATCTCTAATCATCAGGGAAATGCAAATCAAAACCACAATCAGATATCACTTAACTCCAGTGAGAATGGCCTTTATCCAAAAGTCCCCAAACAACAAATGCTGGAGTGGATGCGGAGAGAGAGGAACACTCCTACACTGCTGGTGGGACTGTAAACTAGTTCAACCTCTGTGGAAAGCAATATGGAGATACCACAAAGCGATACAAGTAGATCTACCATTTGATCCAGCAATTCCACTACTGGGCATCTACCCAAAATATCAAAAGTCACTTTATGAAAAAGACACCTGCACTCAAATGTTTATAGCAGCACAATTCACAATTGCAAAGCTATGGAAACAACGCAAGTGCCCATCAATTCATGAGTGGATTAATAAATGTGGT